TAATGGTTTGTGAAAATTCCATTTGGGATGGTGGATTGTTTTCCAGGGTGACACTTATGCCATCAGATGTTTGAATTTTATCATCTCTACCTGTAAATGTCTTGTGCTCCAAAAATCAAATTAAAAACCTCAAATCCAACACAATGAGCAGTTTTTAAAATTACTGTTTTGACCACAAAAACTTGCTAGTCCATGAAAATAACAAATACAACATGGATATATATTTAGAATCCCTCTCCTTTGTTTACCCTATTGCAAATATGTTTGCTTAAAAGCAATAAGAGTTTATAGTCAAACTTTGCAATCCAGAGTTTCACATAAAATGTATAACAGACTACCCAGATGGCAAATGCTGATATGTAAATCTAAAACATGAAAATTTCCACTGGGGGCCAGATGGTGGCTTAATGTGAACTGTTTAACATTTTATGCTTATCTTATTAAAACTGCCTTTACAAGACTAAAGCTGTAGTAGTTAGCAGCGTGGTTTGGAAAAGACTCTGGAACAGCCTATCACTAAATGAACAAAAAAGCAAACACTGAGCAGAAGGCAACATTTGCTGCATGGACCACGGGAGAGAAAAGCAGATCCATGTCTGATTGGAGAGGTGGTTCTTCCTCCATTTATACATAGGTAAAGAAAAATCCCCCAAAATCATTGTTAGCCTTATTTTCAAAGGTACTGTGCACACACCGCTCCATTTGAAGCATGAAATACTTGGACTATGATACTGAGGGATGTGACATACACATTCAATAACCTAATGCTTTGTATTTTCCATTAAAACATATTTTTTGAGGTGTGGGAATTTACTTTTTATATTTTTTTTTAAAAGACCTAATCCTGCACCCTTAAAATCAGTGGGAGTTTTGCCCTTGACTTCAATGAGAGCAGGATTGAACTATTAGCCTAAACTAGGGAAAAATATCCCTGATGGAAAAACTAGTTCAGATAACAGATTATTTTCCGAATACTGAGATGGCTCAGCTTCTTCCTTCGGCATTCCTCTTTTTAGCTTTTGCCCAAACAACTATTTCCTCTGATATGATGCAAGAGCTTACACAACTGAGGAGAGAACAAACGGCCACTTGTGAAGTAAGTCACATGGTGAACCATTAGAGCCCTTACAGTAAATGCCTTCTGTATTAAGGATGTGGTAAGCAGGGCTCTGAAAAGGAGCAGTGACGTGTGTGTACACGTATCATTTATAAATCTGATATGGAATTCTTAATGCATTTAATTTAGTTTGGACATTAGTGTGCACCTGCTGTTCCCATCAGCACTTCCACTTGAACCTTTCTGGCTTAACATATCTCACACACACACATTTGTAGAAAATATATGTTAATTAGAAAATAACTGTTAAGAGTCAGATACATATATTAAAATAGTTTTAATCAAACCACTTCAGAGTAGACTGTTAAGGGTTTCCTATATTTTGACCTGATGCTTTGGAATAATGCACAAAATTCTGTACATTTTGTTGAGTATTATTGCCATTATCAAATTATTGGCTTACAATGTTAAAATACATATAGCATATTTAAATATCTTGCTAGTGGAAATTTGACATCTAAAATAATATCTTGAGTAGAACATGACCCTCCCCCAGGAACCAAATTTGCTTGAATTTTTACTAGTGTTAAAGTTTTATGACAGGTTTCAGAGTAACAGCCGTGTTAGTCTGTATTCGCAAAAAGAAAACGAGTACTTGTGGCACCTTAGAGACTAACCAATTTATTTGAGCATAAGCTTTCGTGAGCTAACAGCTCACTTCATCGTTCCAGTGAACTCCAAAGCCCTTTTCTTTTATAGACTACATAGAATTAATTTTGTCTATTGAAACACCTCAAGCACTTTTTAGGATAGGTGCAGCTTGTGTAAGTAAAGTATTTTCTGAAAAAAAGCAGTCACCTCCTGAGGGGAACACAGCAACTGTGTAACAAAATATAGCAATGCTGCACAACAGTTTTAGATAGAGAGAATTCAGATGTGCAGAGTGTAACTAACAGTTTTGGAATGCAGTCAGGACACTGGGACTAACCATCCTCTTATGAAAAGTGGGAGATGCTTAGTGACCTCAGATGGTCAGTACTCTAACTTACTTGTCCAAAAGACAGCACAACTGAACCTCTATTATTATGATCCTGCATTCCTTCTAAATGATTCAGAAGATTGCTTACTGAGATGCCTAAACTGCTTCTTTGAGCAGCTGGAGTTTATTTGGAGGTCTCCCATTGGAGGTCTCCCACCCAAGTACTGATCCAGATCAGCACTGCTTATTTTGAGATTAGAATCCCACAGCCTGAAGTGGCTTGGCTGATGGCTTTAGGTCAGTGGTTTTCAACTTGTGGTCCATGGACCCCTGGGGGTCTGCAGACTATGTCTAAGAAGTCCATGAAAGGTGAAAATAAATATGAAAATAAAGTTTCAGATCCCAGAAAAGGCATTCTGTTTTTCTGATCAATCAAAACTATGTGAATACCCCCACCTACAGGTCAGAACCTGGAAGTGATGTTACCATAGAAGCCCACAGTTTAGCACCCTTTCTCCTGCTGCCAAGCATGTGCAACATTTATAGCTGAATTCTGTTCAGTTGCTTTTCAGTCTAAGACTTCTATGGTAGGGGACCGCGGACCACAGGTTGAATTTCCAAAGGGGTCCACACCTCTATTTGAAATGTTTTGGGGGTCCTCAAATGAAGAAAAGTTGAAAACCACTACTTTAGGAGATGCATTTTCATATTTAAGCTATGGGTTTCTCCTCTAAAGAGAACAAAGTGTACCTCCCACATTCTCTTTTTCTGATCAGTTTTGTTGAAATTTAAACTGAAACTGATTAACAGTTCTGTAGTTCCAATGGCCTAGTCTGTTGGAGACCAGGGAGAAATAGAGCTCTGTTGATTTATCTCAGCCCACACATCATGAAAAATGTTTTGAGTAACAAATTGTCATGGTGCCTTGTAAATCAATAATTCAGAAACGTGCCCTAAAATCCAGATCCTGCAGGTTTGTCCAGAACATATTGCAAATGCTCTGACACTAAAAAGGAGTTTCAAATCTGCTACAAGAAAAGAGGATGAGCAGCTGGTAAACTACTGGCCCTTAATGAAGCCATACCATATTACAATATCTTCATTTACTGCACAATTTAGTTAGGTTTACCCTGCCAATCTGGAGAGACCAAACCACTGTCTTGGACAGCCACTCTAATTTCAGCTTCTTCACTGCTGGCCATAAAGCAGAATTTAGTCTCTCACAGTTAGGTATATCAAATACGTATGTAAATATGTAGTAATGCATATATTCTGTATTACAAGCAGGTATCCTAAATATACCAATTAAAAACAATCAGTTCCTTAATAATCGTTAGAAATCATAATTCCTTCTAACCCTAAGTATTGCTACTAATGGTACAGAGAAGATTTCAGTGAAGAAATCAAAGATTATTGAACTTATCTGTGGTTCAAAATGGACTTTCATTAAAATGTTGGCCTTAAACTTGTGCCCTAGTTGAAGCTAGTTTATAAAGTTAAGAAAAGTTATTGGTTTACTATTTTGGCAAGGTAAATTATCCCAAGTTCTGGGATTGCTATCTGAACTGGAACAATTTTGATTTAATTAAGTGAATGTTGGTGTAATATTACTGTTGTATTAACGTGATGCAAATGCTCAGGACTAAGCAGTGAGTTTGCATGTGTCTACTATTGAAGTGTAGTTTACTCCTTTTTTTTTTTTTCCTGAAGCACACAGTTGCCTTATCTTTTCCATTCATAAATTAGTCTTTTTTTTTATTATATCACAGACATTAGCACTATATGTCCATAAACTATGTTCCATCATCTTAATTAATTTCTTGGTTGATTATCTCTTGGGATGTTTGATTTTGTTCACACTAAAATATACCCAAAATTTCAGCCTCTAAAAATTCTGAATATTTGAACACTAGAAAATGCATATTGATATAGTTTTCATTAACTAAAAAGGGAAAGTATATAACCAAACAAAATTCATTGATCAAGTGGCATTTTCTAAATGGTGGAACTTACTTTAGTTCTATCCTGAGACATCACAGAGTTGCACTTTCCAAATTAAATATATATGGGGATTCTGACTTCAAAGGTTGTTGCCTCTTTATAAGCTCTCTCTATTAAGTGATGAGCCAGAACCACAATTGTCAGATTTGGCACCTACTGATTTATACAAACTGTGCTAATCCATCTCTGGAACACTTTTGGTATGGTTGACCTGGTTTAACCTTTAAACTACAAATCTGTAATAATTATTACTAATAATTGTGTGTTTAGTGAAATTCCTCCAGGTACAATGGTAGTAAGATTGGTGACTTTGAAATTCTGTAGCCTCTAATGAATATTAATTTTTAATAGTATGAAGGAACAGAACTTTTTTTTAACTTATATTTTACAATATATAGATAGTGATTAATTGTCATTACTCAACATCTTACAATATATTTTTAGTCAACTTTGAAATTTTATGCAATACATACAGAAACAATTCACCCAGCTGATATTAAGTCACATGTCTCTTAATTCTTCCTCTATCTTCATGCTTTCTAATAGCTAATTAAGTAGGAAGGATTTCTTTATGCCCTTCTGGCTGGCTGACAAATGACCACATCTCACAAATTGTATGCATTACAGTAACCAACTGTAATGTGTTGATTATTGATGCGCTTTATGAGGAAACATTTTTTGTGTGTGTGTGCATGCAAGCACATGTGCTTACTACAATGAGAAAACAGCCTATTTACGTTTTTTATATAAAACTGGGAGCTGTTTTAGAAAGAGAACAAAATCCATGCTTGGAATTAGAAATAAACATACATTTTGCTTAGGTGATTTGGTAGGCCTGAAAACCTCAGATAGTTACACAAGTTTAACTGTTTAGTACAGAATTACTATGCTTTAACATTTTAAACAAATTTTGCTGTAGAGGCGTCTGTCCTTTTAAAAAATTATCATCTTTCCTATCCACAGGACATGAACTTGATTGACATTCTTTGGAGGCAAGATATAGACCTTGGGGCAAGACGTGAAGTTTTTGATTTTAGTCAAAGACAGAAGGAATATGAACTCGAAAAGCAGAAGAAACTTGAAAAGGAGAGACAAGAACAGCTCCAAAAAGAGCAAGAAAAAGCTTTACTGGCTCAGCTGCAGCTGGATGAAGAAACAGGTGAATTTATTCCCATTCAGCCTGCCCAGCACATTGAGTCAGACAACACAGGCATGCCAACCAATTTTTCAAAGGTAAAAAACAGTATTTTTTTCTCTTATGTTGATATATATCATGTATATGTGTCTTCATTATTCCTCCTTGTGAATAAGATGATAAAACTGCTGGTTACCTAAACTTAGTTTGTATTTGTAGAGGGAGGAATCTTCAGTCATCCAAAAATAAACTTAATACATTTTTTCCATATCTTTCCTATGTAGACTACGCATATTTCAAAACCAGAAGCAGATGCCTTGTCCTTTGATGACTGCATGCAGCTTTTGGCAGAAACATTCTCGTATGTAGATGATGATGAGGTAAAATATCAACCTAATGCTTAGTATAGTTGGAGGGGTTTTGCGGGGGGGAGGCAATGATAACACATCTGCTCTTGCACAACTTTATTCTCAAGTTTGTTTTTTTTTTTACTTCTGTTATTATGATGAGTCTTTTAATGGAATATTTTCACATTATTGTACTATATTAGGCAAAATACAGTGATTTATATGTATCTAATACTCTTTCAAGGGGACACGTGTGGATCTGTTATATGGGAATAATACAGAGAGCACCAAGAATGACTTTTGCTTGATGCCTTACCAAGTTATGTATATTTATAAAATTCCAGGTTTCTTCGGCTGCATTTCAAGTGTTGGTACCTGCTCATGTAGATAGCGACGCAATCTTCATTACTACTAATCAGACTCAGCCACCTGAATCATCAGTCCTTCAATCTTCTGTTGCTGAAGTAGATAATATGCAAAACATAGAGCAAGTCTGGGAAGAATTACTGTCCATTCCAGAACTACAGGTAAGGGTTAATGTAAGCAGCAGCTGAAAGAATGGCAGAGTATTCTGGGACAACGTCTCCAAAGAATTCAGAACAATAACAGTGCAGTCATTCTTAAGGAATGGTAACAAGCCCATCAGGCTAGTAGCTGCAGAGTTTTTGTAAATTAGTGTTTGCTTTAATAAGAAATACATTGAGCATCTAAACTATAATTAATCAAAAGCAGTGTAAGAGGGGAGACTTCAAGAGAAGAGGGTTATTTACCTAATACTGTGTGAAAATTATATTCTGTCTTCCTGGCCATAATGTTTCTATTTTTACTGATACTTGAGCTGGCTCTGTGTTAAATACAGAAACCTGTTACTGCACTGTCATGTTTGAAATTTTACCTGCAGAAATGTGAGGAACCTCTAAATTATGGTTCCTACAGCAACCATTAGTCTATCCCCAGATACTACTCTAAAAGTATTTGTGGTATAATGTTTAACTTTATATTATTTACATTATTATATTACAGTATATATAAAATACAAAACAGAATATTGCATATGCGGTGGGGGTTATAACTTGGCATTTCTTGATTGTCTTTGCAATTAGAAACTTTGAAGTTGCTTTTATTTAGATTTTGCATTTACCTTCCACCGTGGGAGAAAAAAGCTTTTAAAAGAATAGTATTGGTATATTCGAGACTAATTATGGCTGCTTGTTCTATGAAAACATTATTTGTATTTCAGTTGCAGTCAAACTCTGTTAGGTGCTGTACATGCGGTGAATATGTCAAGCTAAAAATCAATTTGCTCTTTTACTAATCTGAGCATTTCAGAGACTAGCTTATTTATTTAATCACCTCTGCTGTGTTTTTACTTGAACTTCACCCAAATTGGACTGTAAAATTAGACTAGTTTATTTTTCATTATTTATTTTAATGTTTTTCACAAGCACAAAGCTGCTGTTTTTTTGGATTGCAAACTGATCAAAGGAATGCTTAAAAGGACACTGTCAATGTGAAAGCAAGTCCATTTAACAAAACTTAGTTAGAAAGTAACATCAGGTACTACATCTGCTCTGACCCTATCGCTAATTTTTGTGTTTTTCACAATTAATTTTTCTGTGGTGGTTGGTTTTTTTTGGTGTGTTTTTTTTTTTCGCCCCCAATCTTCCCTTTTGTTTGTGTGAAAGACCCACACAACCAAAACAGGGAATTGAGTGACTATACAGGGGCAACAATGAAACTGACAATACAAAAAGTAAACCAAAAAAAGAAAAAACCCTTAAATGTCACTATTATAATTCTGAAGTTGAACAAATTTTCTGGGAGAAGACAGAGATTTAAATTGAGGGTATCCCCTTTAAAGGATTAGTTTAATGAGTAAAGAAAAACCCAAAAGATCTCGTATCTGGTAAATCCTAGTTTAGGTATGATTTTTATTTGTGTTTAAACAATCCGTGTGTGGCCCTCTTTAAGAGGACCAGAATTATTTTTGTAATTGCCTAATTCTGAAAGGACAGAAGGCATACTTTGATACCAGCTTCCTTCCATAAATGTTAAGATTGCTACCCTGTTGGAAAGAATGTTGTTTTTGTAGCCAATAAAGCCCATCAAAATAATAGTCTTCAACACTTACACTAATGTTAACCAGCTTAACTAAAAGTATGTGGGTTGAATTAATGTTTGTAAAGCCCCATGTTAGTTCTGTTTATTACATAGTAAATTAAATTTCTCTGCACCAAACAGCTGCTTCATTGAGTACCACCTAAAAGACCAAAGATCTCGTAAAAATCTTTTCCATAGTTTGACATTTAAGGGATAGTTGTTTGCTAATATCATTCAGTAAATCGTATGCTGTGACTTTAAGTTGCTGTATTAATGTTAAATCTATTTGTATTATAGTGTTGCTTAAGGCGTATTCAGATTCGGCAGCACCAGGATCCATATTGGCAATTTACCAGAGCAGGAGGGATGCATCTAGCTTCCATATAATGGGAGCATATTGCAGCAAGTCTTTATTTTGGTTTATTGGTATGATTTTGGGACACTACAGGTGCCAGAATGCTATATTATCTACCTGGTGACTCTGCTGAGAACAAAAAGCTTCATCCTCTGCTAGGACTTGCAGTCCCCAGAGACTGACCCTTTGTAATAAAATAAGCACAGCAGTGGGCAGTGCTATGACCACCCAAGTTATATAGCAATGCTTTAATGGCCATTTTATGTGTACTGTGTATTGATCTCAGAAGGGCAATATTAAATTTGTGGATATAGATATCAAAATATTTTGTGAATTTATTATTGATAAACTTCTCTTTGTAACATTTCTTCATATAGTGTCTTAACATTGAAAATGATAACCTGGCTGAAGTAACCACTATTGCAAACCCAGAAACCAAGCCATCAGAGATTCACAGTAACTTCTACAGCTCATCATCCATTACTGTTAATTGCAATTCAGATTTCCTCAACACTTTTGAGGATTCCTTTTCTAGCATCCTACCACCAGAAGATCTCAGTCAGCTGGGACTGGACTCTTTAGATACCACTTCATGTTTAAGCTCCAACTTTTCTGAAGATTTCTACTCCACCTTCGTTGATCCAAAGGTGAATGGTGACACAGCAGCACCACATGTTGTCAGTGAGTCATTTGCTGAAATTCCATATGAACCTATTGATATTTCTGATTTCTCACTGTGTAAAGCTTTTAATGGTGACCATCAAGGAAATGCACCAGAATGTAATGATTCTGACTCTGGTATTTCATTGAACGCACATTCCAGTACTGCATCACCTGAACATTCTGTTGAATCATCTGTCTTTGGAGATACAGCTTTTGGATACAGTGATTCTGAAATGGAAGAAATGGAGAGTGCTCCTGGAAGTCTGCAACAGAGCAATGCTCAAATGTATTCATTGCAGTTCCATGATCCAGTCTCTCCTTCCCTGGGGCCAAGCACTCAAAAGTCTGATCTGCAATGTGTAAATACACCAAAGAGAGAACTACCTGCTAGTCCAGGCCACCCCAAAGCTCCATTTACAAGAGATAAACCTTCACGCTACCTTGAAGCTCATTTCACAAGAGATGAGCAAAGAGCAAAAGCTCTGCATATCCCTTTCTCTGTAGAAAAAATCATCAACCTTCCTGTGGATGACTTCAATGAAATGATGTCTAAGGAGCAGTTCAATGAGGCCCAGCTTGCACTTATTCGAGATATACGCAGGAGAGGCAAGAATAAAGTGGCTGCTCAAAACTGCCGTAAAAGGAAACTGGAAAACATAGTGGAACTGGAGCAAGACTTGGGTCGTTTAAAGGATGAAAAAGAGAAATTGCTTAAAGAAAAAGGAGAGAATGACAAAAGCATCCGTCTAATGAAAAAGCAGCTTACCAACTTGTATCTTGAGGTCTTCAGCATGCTACATGATGAAAATGGAAAGCCTTACTCTCCCAGTGAATACTCACTGCAGCAAACAAAAGATGGCAGCATCTTCCTTGTTCCTAAAAGCAAGAAGCCAGAGACTAAATTTTGACAGGCAAGGAAGCTAACTGGCTTTGACAGAGCTGGTATTTTTATTCTAATAGCTTTTACTGTGATGTGAAATGCAGAATTGTTATATTTTAAAGTGATTCTATGCAAATATATATCTAAAGTTAATAACTAGTATATTAAATACACAAGTTAAAAAACTCTAATGCATATGTATGCAAAATGTGTAATCTCCTTTTTCTAACAGTCAATATTTCCTTCTTTATAGCACCACTTTGGCTAGTTTCTGTATGAGTGTAAATATTTAAAGACATCTTATTTATATACTGTTCTATCTCATCTGTTATATTCATAGATTTATATGAAATAAATATATATATATGATTTTAGCTGGCTAAATACAATTGGTCTTGCAACAGATTATATGACTTCAGACATTTTTATAAATATAAATTGAATAATGTTTGCCACTTTTCTTATATATTTTTATTTGCTTTACATTTAAAATAAAAGCTTTACTTTAGTATACAAGTTGATAAAGTATATTATTTTGATTTGTCTTAATAATTTGTGAAATCTTTTTTTTTAACTGCACACCATTCATGTTTACTTCCCCTAAATAGGTTATTCACTAACTTACAAACTTTCACTTTTTTTACAAAGATGAGCCATCATATAAACAAGCTATATAATTATTAACTTGAAATGCAGTATACAACATTGTCAGCATTACCAAGGCCAGGTCTACACTACAGACCTATATTTGTATAACTGCGTTGCTCAGGGGCATGAAAAATCCACCCCCCCTGAGCAACGTAATTATACCGATCGAAACACACATCCTCCCCACCCCACCATCACACACACACAAACACACACACACACACCCCATGTAGAGAGCGCTATGTTGGCAGAAGAGGTGCTCCTGCCGACATACCTACCACCTCTTGGGGTAGTGGATTAACTACACTGACAAGAGAAGTCGGCAGTGCAGTCTGCACCAGTGTAACGTTTTATGTGTTAACTTGACTTACACTTCATATAAATTTTAACTACCTTTTTAAAGAGGTACTGTCACCTTTAATGTAAAAATCTCAAGTCTAACACTAATGCTTTTTGTTTATTTTTTTGCACTTTGCTAGGCTTAATGAAACTAGTCTGGTTAGTTTCACTTTCTAGTTCTGATGCTGTAGCACAAAGCTGCGGTGTTTTGTTTCACTACTGTAGAGAAATGTCAAGAGGCCAATGTGCTTGTTAAATTCCACCCCTACAAACACTCATTCATATTAGATATTGTTTATTCTTTCCTGCCCATCCTCCCCACCATTATGGACTCCCCTTATTCTCTCCCTGTATCACACGGATACCATTTTTAAAAACTAAGCTTAGTGCATTTAAACTGCAGAAGTGCTGTCAAGGCTAATTCCCCACTCTGGCACTTCACATACAGAAGGTGAGGGCCTGCAAGGATTCTAAAAATTAATACTGGCCACTCCAGGCTTGTATTAAACTCACAAGGTTACAGCTTTTCTCTGACCTGGGATTGGTAGATGCTGTTAGCACCCAAGTGCAGAACCCCTTTGAGAGCCCAGGATGGTGCACTTGGGAATTCTTTCCGTGGGGTATCCTCAAGCCCTTTCACCACCATCCCCATTTCCAGGAAGAGCTGCGGGGGGGGGGAGAATCAGCTGTTGCCACCAGCTAATTAAACAACGTGCACAAACCTCTTAAGACACACAAATCCAATTCTCTTCTTAAAAAAGGTAAATTTTATTAATTTAAAAAAAAAGAAAGAAAATACATCTGGGAACTCAGGCTACTGCTAGATTTTAAAAGAGCAACCATAAGAATTAAGCACTAAGAATAGCTTTCTTGAGGTCCAGCTTTAAAGGTTACAAGCAAAAGAAAAACCTCTAGGGTTAGCCTAGAGGAATCTACAAGCCATAACTAACAAAAGGGATAAACCTAATTGCGCCTTCCTATATATTTCCTGATCTACTTACACGTCTGGGATTTTAAATGAGTAGTTTCTAGGTATGATGCTGATGATTTTTCATAGCTGGCCCAAGCTTCTTCTAGCATAATTGCCTCTCCTAGGGTGACCAGATGTCTCAGTTTTATAGGGACAGTCCTGATTTTTGGGACTTTTTCTTATATAGGCTCCTATTACCCCCACCCCCTGTCCCGATTTTTCACATTTGCTGTCTGGTCACCCTAGCCTCTCCCTGGGAGAACAACACAGATAGACAAAAAGGGAGTCTTGTTTCAAATTTTAAAAGTTCTAGCTTTTTTGGCCAGGTGCCCACTCATTTCCTTTTACCTATGTACAGCAGTGAGACTTTTCAACCCTTTACAGGTACAGCAATTAGAGATCAGCTACTAAGACGGATTTTATAGCTTCTGGATGGCTGGGTGTGCATTAAAGGGATCTATCCCTCTCCCCCCTTTGTTTATCACAAGCACTGTTCCCTCTAAGCTGTGCATGTGTGCGTGCACACACAGATCCTAAACCCTGCGCACACGGCGAAACACCATGCACACAAAAATTTGCACAGAAGCACAACAATGTGCACAGAAGAATTTTTTTGCGCACACGGCCTGTCAAAAATTAGAGGGAACACTGATGGCAACTGTCCTTTAAAATTTAGCTTAAACTTTTTCTTTAAAAATCAACATTCCATGTTTACACCATTATTTTGTCTTTGAGAATTACTTATTAAACAAATTATTGTAATTATAGGTATTTTTAATCCATTTAATTAAAACTTCGTCTACATTACAAAGTTTTCAGTCCAGAAATTCTGTAAGATTTACAATGCTTGTTCAATTACTATGTTGTACATTTCCTGACTCTTCAGTCAATAAATATCATTTGTCACTGCTGTTAATTCATAACTTCATAGAAAAATGTAGCACGCTGATCACTTACATTACAGCTGCCAAATGCATTCACTACTTGGGACTTATTGCTCTATTAAATAGAGAGCACTGTAGAATTTGAAAGTATGACTTACAAAGAAATAAAGAATTGGGGCAAATAAGGAATATTGTTTAATTATACACCAACGCTTACAGATGGGACTCAGATCACAGTGGTAAATATACAAAATACATCATCTGAATTTTGAAACACATCTATACTATTCCTTTACAGTGACAACTGTTCAGACCTGTACTTATCTGTTATCAGTTATTCTGCATCTTTGGGAGGGAAAATCCATTTTTTATTTAGTCTGATTGTAAAGTGGTGCTGGTGCATTAACCTTTCGAAGGTAATCTTTGCACAGATTCAGGTTTTTAACTATACTTGAGTCACGTGTCATACTAAACATTTGTCATTCAGCACTTTTCATAAAATGCAAAATACCAACTTGTTGTCGTTGGCACCATAATCTAAATCCTCATAAAGTCAACTTCTTTATGGATTTTGTGATTGTTTTTAATGTTCCAGACTCCTTTTATATATAGATACCAAAAAAGTGAAAGGCCAGGGGGATGCTGTTGCATGACCTCATGGTCTCTTTCTTGTGGTTTAGCACAAGTTGGCAGAGTCCTTGGAATAATGATAGTGGCACAAGCTCAATAATAACATAACACATGTATATTACTGGAAGAGTGTATAGAGGCAGCTCTCCTCTTGCTGCTGGTGTTGCTCACTCCACCTTGCAGTGTTACTTCCAATCCTATGTCCCCTCAGAGGTTGTCTATGGGTGTAAACCCCCCCCTCCCCCCCATACACACACAGACTGAGCTAGCATAGTAACCCAGAACGCAAACCATTCTTGCTAAACTCAAGCAATCAAAAATAATGAGACTGGCCAAAAAATCCTGAGTGCTCTTTAAGCAAAGACTACGGTGGGTGCGTTCGCTCTCCCAGATTCATTGGGTAAGGTGATTTTGGCCCCCAATGCAGGAGCTCCCACCTCCACATCTGCCCATCTCTTCACCAGCAATTAATCCTGTAGCCCCATCTCCAAACCACATCTGTCTCCTAGTCAACCCGTCAGCCCACCTCCTACAACTACCTTGACCACTCTGCCATCCGTTCAGCCCCCCAGCCTCACCTCTGCTTCCACTAGGTTTTTTACACACACCCCAGGCCTGGGGGTCGGCAGTGGGGCCTCCTCTCCCACAACCAGGCAAGGGGGCCAGCCTCTAGGGCTGCCCCTGTGCAGGCCAGGTTCTGTGGGGAGAGGAGCAGAGGAACTCTCCTGTTGCTCACAGGAAAGGAGCGGGAGCGGAGGACGCCTTAGCCCCGCCAGAGAAGGCTTCAGGTTGCTCAGGGGGGAGGGGGAGAGTAAGCCCGTGCACTCTTCTTGCAGCAGTTCTGATTGGCTGCTTGGTGCCAGGAGTAGGGCAAGCGGGGCAGCCAGTCAATTGGGGGCGGTGGGGCTTCCGCCAACCCCCAGCAGGGCTCAGCTCCCTGGCAGACTGGGCTCCGGCTGTGTTACCAGCTCTCGCAATTTTCGCTGTTCTGGGTTTTTCTTTTCCGTCCCACGAACACATGATGACAGGTGACAACTCATTAATTTTCCCTTATTCAAAATGGCCACCATCTCCTATTATTGTCAATGGGGTGAAGCCACCAAAATGGCTGCCCTTCATTAAAAAAAGGAAATCAGCTGTTGCCACCAGCTAATTAAACAACCTGTGCACAAAGCTCTTAAGAGACAGAAATCCAGTTCTCTTCTTTAAAAAGGTAAATGGCTGCCTTTCATAAAGTTGGCTTCCACCTCCCACCCATTTTCAGAAAGATTGAACCTGTCCCACAGGCAGGGGGGGCTAGAGAGGACAATAGGGGCTGTCAGGAGCAGCAGAGGCACTGTGAAAGGTGAAGGGGGAGCAGGAGGTAGTTTTAGGGGTTGCAGGGGTTTAGGAGAAGTGTGTGTGCAGTTTGGGGAAAGGGCAGGGAAGTGTTGCTTCTTGCAAAATACTAAACCAATCCCATGTTGTTTTTACGGTGACATCATTGTTTATATGAATGATTGATATGTTTAAAGTTATTTTATATGTGTATCTGTAACTCATCAACCCTAAAAAGTAATGAAAGTTCTGTGTGAGAGTGTGAATCATGATGCATTAATTAGGTCAGTGGTTCTCAAACTATCTCCCATCCAGTTCTTCTTTTATTAAAGGAAAAAAACTCAGAGGGGGGAGAGTTAAGACAGTAATAGGAAATGGAATTCCCCTATCTTAGGGTTCAGGAGAAGGTAAATGGAGTTTATAACTGAGCAACCAGGCTACAGTGACGAGACAGCAAGTATGAAAAATCGAGACAGGGAGTGGGGGGTAATAGGCGCCTATATAAGACAAAGCCCCAAATATCGGGACTGTCCCTAAAAAATCAGGACATCTGGTCACCCTAAACCAGGCAGAGGTGTGGATTTCTGTGTGCATTAAAGGTTGACTTTCCAATCTAAAAATATCGCACACATTGGCAGAAGAATAGACGGTAGAGTCACCATATTTGAACATTCAAAAAAGAGGACACTCCACAGGGGGAGTATTTGCTCATGTGCCCCTGGCCTTGCCCCAACTCCTCCCCTTCTCCACCCCCATTCCAACCCCTTCCCCAAAGTCCCCGCCCCAATTCTGCCCCCTCCCTGCCCCATTGGACCCCTTCCCCAAATCCCCGCCCCAGCCCCGCCTCCTCCCCTGAGCGCGCCTTGTTTCCCCTCCTTCCCCCCCCTTCCAGCCATGCAAAACAGCTGTTTCGTGGTGCAAGCGCTGGGAGCTAGGGGGGAAAAGCGGGCACTCTCTTGAGTGATCAACATTCACTTTCTTTCTCAAATGATCAGCATTCACTCTCTTTCGTGAATGATCAGCTCTTCTTTGGGGAAGAATAATAATGGCAAAATCCTGGATGTTTTTAGATATTTAAAAACTCCTTCCAGATGGCGATTTAAGAACCAAAAAGCCAGACATGTTCGGGAAAATACGGACATACGGTAACCCTAATAGACGGGAATTAAAAAGTCAACAGAAAAGAGTAAATAACATGGTTTGATTTTTTTTTTAATAATCTGATGATTTTTGATTGCTTGAAGTTGGCAATACGGCCTCAGACAAAGTAAACTTGGGATAGTTGGCAACATTGCAAAACTTTATTCTTGGTGAATACTATGATTGGGCACTATAGAAAATCTCAAGATAGAATGCAAAGGACTGACACGTTCAGGATATAATATCAAGCACTGAGGCAGCCTGTATCTATTTAAAGTATACGCTCCTTGGACCTAGGCATTTTCTGTATGTTTGTAAAGCATTGAGCACACTTTTTACGTTTCATAAATAACAAAGACTCTCACTTTTTAGGAGATACAGCACAGAAATAGTGTAATTTCCCTCCCCACAAAAAAACAAAAACAAAGAATCCTAGGCTGTGACGGTGATTTTAGGACACTTTTGTGCCCTCTTGATTCTAGGCTGCTCCCAGGGCTGGAGAGGCGCAGGTGTAACTTAAACAGCCACAGGGTCCTAAGTAATGGTAGCCATCCCAGGCTGCCCCAATAGGCCAGAGAGCTGTCTGTAATCTCCATGGTGCTGTTGGCCATGCCTCTATCCCAGCACGCCTTCTACACTAGGGGTTCTCAACCTCTTTCTTTCTGAGGCCCCCCAACATGCTATAAAAATTCCATAACCCACCAGTGCCATAACAACTGTTTTTCTGCATATCAAGT